CATGGAACATGATCTTTACTTAATATCCTAATGATTTTTGGCATAAAAGAAAAATGTATAATTTTGACCCATACAATGTATTGTTGGCTATTGCTACAAATATACCCCAGCGACTTAAGACTGCTTTTGTGCTCCAGGGTCACATTTATCATCATTTTTCCATTCAGACACTTACAAGTAGGGGGAGTTTTAGTTTTAGCTTCAAACTTAATGAATGTTGCACCACTTAAACTGCAGCAGACAAACTCCTTTTAACACAAAGCCCTTCTGTTGGTTTTGTTGCTCGTGTCTGTTCAGCCGTGAGCATGCTGACCCCCATTAACGATCTGCACGGATGGGACCCGGGCTCCATGGTGAAGGGCGAGAGACTGATGCGCTGCAAGCTGGCCAGTGTTCACCGTCTGCTGGATCTGTACGGCTGGACACAGCTGCCCAACACCTGCCTCACAGTAAGAAACGCCTTCTGTCAGCATGCCAAGACTCACGCATTACAAGTAATGTGAGTTACGTAATCAGATTACTTTTTAAAGTAACTAGTAAAGTAACACATTACACATAAAACACATAAAGTAACACTTTTAATTTAGAAGGAAATATCTGAGTTACTTTTTCAAATAACTCCAGTTACTTTGTTTCCCAGATTTAAAAAGTAACTCAAAAGTAATGTAATGCATTACTTTCCATAAAAAGTAACCTAATTAGTTACTTTTTAGGGAGTAACGCAATATTGTAATGCATTACTTTTAAAAGTAACTTTCCCCAACACTGGTGCTCACTACACGTTCATCCGAATGGGTAAACCGAGAGGGTAACACTTTATTTTAAGGTGTCCTTGTTACACATGTTACATGTACTTACTATTATAATAACAATAAATTATGCATAATTACATGCAAGTAACACTAAGCCAAACCCTAATCCTAACCATATAGTAAGTACATGTAGTTAATTAATATTACTCAGTACTTAAATGTATAATTACACTGTAACAAGGACACCTTAAAATAAAGTGTAACCACTGAATGTAATGAAGGCTGAAAATACATGTTTCTGAAAGAAGCCTATATTTGACCGAAATACAGTAAAAACAGAAATAATGTGAAATATCATAAATATATGTTTTCTGTTTTAAATATATTTTAAAATGTAATTGATTGCTGTGATCAAAGCTGAATTTTCAGTTATCATTCAATGTCACATGTTCATATGCAGATGAGGTGCTTATTATCATCGATGTTGAAAACAGTTGTACCGCTTAATATTTTTGTGGAAGCTTTGAATCAATTTTTTAGGATTCTTTGGTGAATAGAAAGTCCAAAATAGCAATATTTTTATTTATTTAAAAAAGAAATCTTTTATAACAGTATGAATGTTTTAACTGTCACTTTAATGCGTCCTTTGTGAATAAAAGTAATTTCTTTCAAAAGAAGTCTTTCTGACCCCAAACGTTTGAGCAGTAGCGTATTTGTCTTCTTAAACTGTTATGTAACTCAAGCTTATGATAATACAAAATGCACATATAGTGCACTTTAAATAACTTCACACAGCTGCCAGTCTGTCACTTCGAATGGAAATTAAGCTGATTAAAAATACAGAATAATTTTTGCTGCATTTACTTTAGCATACTTATTCATATTTCTCTCTCTCCTTCGCTGAGTCTTTAGGGATTTAAGAGCCTATCCTAATAGGAAGTGATTTTGAGATCAAGTCTATCCATATTTATTTATCTACCAGGTGTGTGAAACACATAAATGACAAGCATTATTTTATTTTATTTTTATTTTTTTTATTATTATTTTTTTTTTTAGTTCAAGTCTGGTAACGAGGTTGCTGCTTTGATTTTCACAAGAAGTATGAAGATCAAAACTCGTAAAGGGATAGTTCACTCAAAAATGAAAGATACTCATTGCATTTGAAACTCTTAGGGCTTATTTTCTTCAGAGAAATTAAGTAGACTATTTTGTTCCTTACAAGTTATGTGACTACACAACATGACTGCACTATAAAAGTTAGGACTTGTACGCTATAGTCCAAATATAGCTTTGTCTGAACACAAATATGATTCAACATCTCATATCATCATATATGAATCTGTACAGGTTTGGCAGGATCTGAGGATGAGTCAGAGACGTCAGATTTTTCTCTGATGGCTGAATGAACCCTTGCTCTCAGGAGAATGATACTGTGATGAAAGCATCTCTTTTTCTCTGCAGATGCGTGTTAGTAAAGAACAGGAACATTTCCTCGTGCTGCCGGATGGTTTGGCCTACGGCGAGGGGACCGCCTCCAATCTGGTGAGACTCTAACTAACACACAAACCAAACCGGTTCCTCCTTATGAGAGCCTTTCTCTGGGAAAAGCATTCAAAAGAAGGTCACCAGTTTGAGATTGTGTATTGTTTGCTGATAAAACTGAAATTTCAGCATGTTCTGGGCATATATACTGTTGCAAAAATAAGGCACTAGATGATGTTACTCATGAAAATATTTCTCGTTTTCATGCATGTGTACAAACTGCATCCAGAATGGTCACTTTGTAATGGATAAAATAAGAAACAATGCAGTTCACAGTTATACTAAAGGGAAAATGCAGCAATTTAATTTTTATACAGTGGTGGCCAAAATGATTAGAACACTGGTTTCACTATTTTTTGTTCTGTTTAAATGTAAATGAATATTGGAATGATTAAATATTTTTTTAATCAAGTACTTGTTTAAATATATTGAAAGATGATGGAAAAGTAGTAAATGATGCAGTTGGACCTCATCTTTCAAGAGAAAGCTTCATTGAAGCATGCGCTCTCTGCAGGTGAAGGTGAATATTCTGGGGGAGGTTGTGGAGAAAGGCAGCACTGCTCTGGGAGTGGATCTGTCTGCGTTTGCTCTGCATTCTGCCGTATATTCAGCTCGACCGGACATCCGCTGCCTTCTGCACCTCCACACTCCAGCCACGGCTGCGGTACACCACCTCGTTACTCTCTGTGGAGCACTGCTTTCTACAGTCTCTCTCTGATCAAAACCTATGAGATTATGCAACATTTAACAATTATACTAATTATTATTATTAAATTAAATGCTAGTTTGTTTTTATTAATTGTTTAATATTTACATGTCATAAATTACTTTATTTTCTATCTACCTATCCATATTTATTTATCTACCAGGTTTGTGAAACACATAAATGAAAAGCATTTATTTTATTTTATTTTAGTTTTGTATCCCCGAGGTTTGTGAAACACATAAATGACTTTTATGTATTTATTTATTTATATCACAAGATTTTGAAAAACATAAATTACTCATTTTAATTTAATTTAATTTAATTTTATTTTATTTTTGTATCCCCGCGGTTTGTGAAACATTAAATTACTTTTATGTATGTATGTATTTATTTATTTATATCAAAATATTTTCAAAAAACATAAATTACTCATTTTTATTTTATTTTATTTTTTATTTTATTTTTGTATCCCCGAGGGTTGTGAAACACATAAATTACTTTTATGTATTTATTTATTTATATCACAAGATTTTCAAAAAACATAAATTACTCATTTTTATTTTAGTTTGATTTTATTTTAGTTTTGTATTCCTGAGGTTTGTGAAACACATAAATTACTTTTGTGTATTTATTTATTTATATCACAATATTTTGAAAAACATAAATTACTCATTTTTATTTTATTTTATTTGTTTATATATGTATATATTCATTCCGAGGTCCAGGCTTCCACTGATGGCACCAAAAAAAAAAAAAAAAAGATTTGTAAAATAATTATTTATTATTATTATTATTATTATTATTATTATTATTATAGATGCATTGGCTCAAATCACTTACAGATCTGAGAGTTGGCAATTGTTAAAGTCATAAATTATTTAAGTAGAACTTTTTTTCCTGCCATTCATACATTCTCTCAATCTTAAAATGTGTTTTTTATTGTTCTAGCACTGATCAACTCGATCAGTGATCAACTATTAATCTTTCATGTAGGTATCAGCCATGAAATGTGGCCTTCTGCCGCTATCCCATGAGGCTTTGCTGGTGGGCGATGTAGCTTATTATGACTATAATGGAGTGATGGAGGAAGAAGAGGACAGAGTGGAGCTCCAGAAGAGCCTCGGCCCGACATGCAAGGTCTGATCATAGATTATAGGCAGTGCATGCAGGGTTCCCACGGGTCCTTGAAATCCTTGAAAGTTTGTGAATCTGGAAAAAAAATTTCAAGGCCCTGGAAAGTTTTAAAAAATAAACGTACATAGATACAGGTCCTTGAAAGTGCTTGAATTTATTTTGTGCAAGAAGTTTTCTGGAAAAAATTCCATATTATTCCCTCCGTTAATGTGTTATTTCGCCAACACTTCATGGCCTATGCATACTAGCTTGCTTGATGTACGTTAGTTACGCGCATTATACGCGTTACGTTAAGTGTTTCCCGCGTGAGAAACTTTGTGTTGTATATGGCAAGCCACAAGAGTCAGAATTAAATTTATGCCATTAAATACGGCGTTTTTTACAGTTTACGCACGTTTTTTATGGCGTCTGCTATCAGGACGGTGTATTTGACGGCACTAATGCTGTTTTAAACGCTGGAAAAAACTGCTATGTAAATGTGATTTAGCTATAGCGTAATTCTGACTCTTGTGGCTTGCCATAGTTGTACGTTGCCATGACGTTCACCCGCGCACGAAATTACTACAATGTTACCTTAACGTTTCACAGACACACCGTGAAATTAATGTTGAATTGCTTTGCTTGTTAAGATAATGTTAACCCATGAGGCAAGAAAAACTTAAAAGCATATTCATATATCTTAAAACTTCTGGTTACATGAGCCTAAGCTCTTTTCAATACAATTCATGCAAAAGTTAATATCAGATCATTTTAGAATACATTATAGAATGTACCGAATATTCTTCAGTTTTATGCAAAACAGAAATACAACAAATAGAATATTAGAGCTCTGTCATATGGCCAAAAATAAATGCAAAAATAAAATGCTTTTTTTTTTGCATAGTTGTGTTTGACACATGAAAACTGTAACAATGTATCTTACAAGGTAACAAGGTGTAACCTTGATCTCACTTGAAATGTGTCCCCACGTTAAGTCCTTGAATTTGAGGGTATTGGACCTGGAAAATCCTTGAAAGGTCCTTGCATTTTAAGTTAACCAAGGTGTGGGAACCCTGTGCATGTTCTGTTCGCTCAGAAGATGATGTGAGGCTCTGAAGGTTGTGAAGGGTTTGATGAAGTATTCCCGGGAAACGTCTGTCTGACTCTTAATAGCTGCGATTCTACAGGTGCTGGTGTTGAGGAACCATGGCATCGTGGCACTGGGAGAGTCAGTGGAGGAGGCCTTTTACACAATCTACCACATCCAGACCGCCTGTCAAATACAGGTAGGCAAAAAATTCCTTCCCGTGAGGACAAAATATGGAAGAGTAGATTAGTGGGACAGAGTAAAGAGAGAGGACGCTAGTGTTCAGTCAGTCACCGGAAACCCAGAAAAATTCATATTTGTTGTATAAATATAAATATTAGTATATGTATAATATATGTAAATATGTATATTATAAATAAATGTTTATAGTAAATACACAATACCTTTCAAAACTTAGGGTTAGGTCAGTAAGGTTTGTAAATGTTTTTTTAAAAACTCTCTTATGTTTCAGGGCTGCATTTATTTGATCAAAAATACAGTAAAAACAGTCAAATATTATTATAATTTAAAATTACCTTTTTTATTTCAGTATCTGTTAAACTGTAATGTATTTCTGTGATGCGCAGCTGTATTTTCAGCATCATTACTCCAGTCTTCAGTTTCACATGATCTTCAGAAATCATTCTAATATGCTGATTTGCTGCTCAAGAAACATTTCTGATTATTATCAATGTTGAAATCCATGCTGCATTTGTGGAAACAGTACATTTTTCAGGATTATTTGTTTAAAATAACAGCATTTATTTGAAATAAAAGTCTGTAAACAAAACTGTCAATTTTTATCAATTTAATGCATCCTTGCTGAATAAAAGTGTTGATTTATTTTTAAAAAAACTTTTTGAATAGTAGTGTAAATATTTATACTAAATATACGTTTTTCTCTTTTTCTAGTTTTTGCTTTGCTATACAGTATATTTGTTTAAAATAACAGCATTTATTTGAAATAAAAGTCTGTAAACAAAACTGTCAATTTTTATCAATTTAATGCATCCTTGCTGAATAAAAGTGTTGATTTATTTTTTAAAAAACTTTTTGAATAGTAGTGTAAATATTTATACTAAATATACGTTTTTCTCTTTTTGTAGTTTTTGCTTTGCTATACAGTATATTTCATCAGCTGCATATAATGAGATCATGTAGACTAAAAATACCAATGTAAAGCGTGTGATAAGACTGTCAGTTGAAGGTCTTATTGCTGATATTTGTATACTAATTAGTGTAATGATTTGAATCTACTAATCCAAACAATTTGCACATGGCATACCACTGAAAATCTGCTTTAGCAATCTGTATAACAGTTTTAAAGGACTCCATAAATGACTGGAAAGGTCATGGAAATCCATTGTGAACCATGAGAGAAAGACAACAAAAGGATTGTGAAAACTGAAGAAAAAAAAAGTGCACAGGGTGAGAATAGTAATATTCAGTGTTGGGGAATTTTACTTTTAAAAGTAATGCATTACAATATTGTGTTACTCCCTAAAAAAGTAGCTTAGTTACTTTTTATGGAAAGTAGTGCGTTATGTTACTTTTGAGTTACGTTTTAAATCTGGGCAGGGCTTGCTTGTTTTTTTTATATAAAAAAGTTCTTCTTTTACTAATGTAAATGCTCTTTCACATCAAAAGTGAAATGAATACGCCTCAGGCCGAAGGAAATGTAAATTCACGTCTGTACAGTAGAGGGCGCCACTCAAACAAACTGCATGAAGAATATGACGCAGGAGAATAAAGTTCAACACTATTCAGCAATAACACAAATGAAACACAAATGTGTTATTTTAATTTATAATAAATATACCGTGGACATCATATCGTGATATTATCGTATCGTGAGATTTTGATATCGTTACATCCCTATGACTCGTTTAAATATCTCAATAAATATCGTATCGTGGACTTCATATCGTGATATTATCGCATCGTGAGATTTTGATATCGTTATATCCCTATGACTCGTTTAAATATCGCAATAAATATCGTATCGTGGACTTTATATCGTGATAGTATCGTATCGTGAGATTTTGATATCGTTACATCCCTATGACTCATTTAAATATCGCAATTAATATTGTATCGTGGACTTTATATCGTGATATTATCGTATAGTGAGATTTTGATATTGTTACATCCCTATAACTCGTTTAAATATCACAATTAATATCCTATCGTGGACTTCATATTGTGAGATTTTGATATCGTTACATCCCTATAACTCGTTTAAATATCGCAATAAATATCGTATTGTGGACTTCATATCATGATATTATCGTATCGTGAGATTTTGATATCGTTACATCCCTATAACTCGTTTAAATATTGCAATAAATATCGTATCGTGGACTTCATAACGTGATATTGTCGTATCGTGAGATTTTGATATCATTACATCCCTATAACTCGTTTAAATATTGCAATAAATATTGTATCGTGGACTTCATATCGTGAGATTATCATATCGAGAGATTGTGATACCGTTACATCCCTACAACTCGTTTAAATATTGCAATAAATATCGTATCGTGATATTGTAATATTGTGAGATTTTGATATCGTTACATCCCTATAACTCGTTTAAATATTGCAATAAATATTGTATCGTGGACTTCATATCGTGATATTATCGTATCGTGAGATTTTGATATCGTTACATCCCTATAACTCGTTTACATATTGCAATAAATATCGTATCATGGACTTCATATCGTGATATTCTCGTATCGTGAGATTTTGATATCATTACATCCCTATAACTCGTTTAAATATCGCAATAAACATCGTATCGTGGACTTCATATCGGGATATTATCGTATCGTGAGATTTTGATATCGATATTTTGTAATGCGTTACCCCAACACTGTTCGTATTGTTGGCTGAAGTGAATCTGCAGAATGCAGTCCTCACACTGATGGAGTCACGCTGCATTGCTCTGCTGTTCTTGGCAGGTGGCAGCACTGTGCAGCGCTGGAGGAGAACAGAACCTGATCATGCTGGAACGCAGCGTTCACCGGCCCGTCGCCACAGGCACTGTGGGTTGGGCCGGATCCACCTTCGGCCCCATGCACAAGAGCAGGCTGGGAGAACATGAGTTCGAAGCATTGATGAGGACGCTGGACAATCTGGTTAGTCTAGAATAGTGTAACCTTTGACCACAAAACCAGTCTTGAGGATCAATTTTTTAAAATTGAGATTTATACATCATCTGAAAGCTGAATAAATAAGCTTAACGTTGATGTATGGTTTGTTAGGATAGGATAATACTTGGCCGAGATTAGGGTTGGGTATCGTTTGAATTTTAACAATTCCGATTCTTATCAATTCCCAGTTTTGATTCCAATGTGGTAAAAAAAATGAAGTCAAACATTTAGTTATCAAACATATTTATTCTGTGTCTCTTTTTGCAAAACATTTAATTGCTGCTGAATACCATGAACACAAATCAGCCAGCTACATAAAAACTGGACTCGATTAAGAGCTGTTTGTGTGAAAAATAGTGCTGCACGATTCTGGATAAATTGAGAAATTTGTGTGTGTGTGTGTTTGATGTTGTGGTACTCTCACGATTCTGAAGAAAAAACATAAGGCAACTAAACAAAATCTCATGGAATTTATGCATGGAATGATTCAATGACTCACTCAAGATTTACTTGTTTCATTACTGGATGATTCAGTGGTTTTGAATGAATCTCTTGAATGAATGATTCAAAGACAAATAAATTTTTAACAGCCCCTTTTCGCCACCTAAAAAAAAGGAATTGATAGGCAGAATTTAATTTTTAATTTTACAACAAGTATCCAATTCCTGATCTTAAGTATTCGATTCTCAAATTGAAATAGATTTTTGATTCCCAACCCTAGCGGAGACGCAACTATTTGAAAAACTGGAATCAGAGGGTGCAAAAAAAATCTAAATGAAAATCGCCTTTAAAGTTGTCCAAATGAAGTTCTTAGCTATGCATATTACTAATTAAAAATTAAGTTTTGATAGGTGGGAAATTTACAAAATATCCTAATGAGTTTTGGCATAAAAGAAAAATTGATCATTTTGACCCATACAATGTATTGTTGGGTATTGCTACAAATATACCTGTGCTGCTTAAGACTGCTTTTGTGCTCCAGGGTCACAATTTAGCCAATCTATAGCTTATTGTTATTACTATTAGACTTGACATTTGAACATCTGATCATCGTTCTTTAGGGTTACCGTACAGGTTACGCCTACCGTTTCCCAGTGATGCTGGAGCGCTCCAGAACCAGGAGAGAGGTGGAGGTTCCTGCCACCGTCACCTCATTTTCCTTTCATGATGATGGATTTCAGCCTCACCCTCGTCTCCATCCTCACGCCCAGAGACAGCAGCAGAAGACCAGATGGCTAAACACCCCAAACGTCTATCAGAAAGTCAGCCAGGACCAGGTCAGTCCGGGACATCGGACTACAGTGAAGGAGATTCAGTGTTGGGAAGTAACTAGTTACACGTAACTAAATTACGTAATTTAATTACAAAATAAATGCAATTGTAATCAGTTACAGTTACTGATAAAAAATTTGTAATTAAATTACAGTTACTTATGAAAATGTTAATTACAAAGGGGGGTTACATCTGATTTGATTGATTTCTTTTATAAATTGCATTGACTGCTCTAAAATATGAGACAGCAATGTTTCAGGAGTTTAGGACACAGCATAGGACACTGATTTATTCACTATTTGGATTTATGCATATGCTTTTATTTATTTTTTTAAGATTAACTGTTTTTCCAAGGCATTGTTAGATGCCAGTGTTTCCTGTCATAGCTATGCAAAGATTTGATTTCAAAAACAGTATCATAGCTATTAAACTATTTCTTCTTATGGTTTTCAATCTGTATTTAACCTCAGAATGACCTCAAAGTAAGTCTGATTTTGTGGTGGCGGTGCTTTAAAAAACATTATTATAATCTTAATTAAAGTGATGAAGGATTCTGAAAGTCTGACAGTAATCAGTGTTGAGTTCTACTGTAAAGTTAACCCTGCTTGGATTAAATGTTTCAAAATGATTAACAGTTGAAAACATTAGAAATTTAGAAAAGTAATCAAAAAGTAATCAAATGTAATCAGTTACATTACTTTAGTAAAGTAATTTAAATAGTTACACTACTTATTACATCTTAGATAGGGTAACTTGTAATCTGTAACCGATTACATTTCCAAAGTAACCTTCCCAACACTGCGTATACTTGTGTATATATAACTCTATATAACTTGAGCATCCAAAACTGGTGATGTAATATTTTTGGACTATGATAGCAAGCCGTTTCATAATTAGTGTGTTTTAGATTATGACATTTTTAATGATGAGATCTTATTAGCACTGACCACTAAATTCTGTGTACTTAAAGGGGTCCTATTATGCTTTTTCACTTTTTCAAC